TGGTGGTGGTGGTGGTGGAGGTGGTGGTGATGGTGGAGGTGGAGGTGTTGGTGATGGTGGAGGTGATGGTGATGGTGGAGGTGATGGTGGTGATGGTGAAGGTGATTTTGGTGGTGGTGGTGGTGGTGGTGTTGACGGTGGAGGTGGTGGTGGTGGAGGTGGTGGTGATGGTGGAGGTAGTGGTGGTGGTGTTGATGGTGGAGGTGGAGGTATTGGTGATGGTGGAGGTGATGGTGGTGGTAGTGGTGGAGGTGGTGGTGGTGGAGGTGGTGGTGGTGATGGTAGAGGTGATGGTGGTGGAGGTGATGGTGGTGGTGGTGGTGGAGGTGATGGTGATGGTGGAGGTGATGGTGGTGGTAGTGGTGGAGGTGGTGAAGGTGGTGGTGATGGTAGAGGTGGTGGTGGTGGAGGTGGTGGTGATGGTGGTGGCGGCGGTGGGGCTCTGTGAAAAAAATTTGCTGTTTAGATTTTGTGGAAGGATTTCCTGCAAATGGTCTGCCCAGCTGAACTCAAAGTCCTTTAGGAGGCCTGTTTTGCTGACATTCCTGATTGCTTCCAGGTAAACAAATCTTGTTTGTATCTCAAAGAAAGACAGAGCTCTCTAGCACTGTGACAGCCTGTTGTTACAGTTACTCACATATGACTTACCATAGACATGGTCAGAATAATGGAAGACAATGAAATAGTAGAAGCTCATAGTTGGGCCTGGAGCAGAGAGAACAAAGCTACTGAAGAGACTTGAGGATGGAGTTGATGGCTTTGTGCGGTTTAAACGACAGTATTTTTTTATGATATTGGAGTATTGAAAAGGAGGGTTTCTAATGGTAGTGTGTGTGACAAAAGGGCCTTGCGAAACTCAGGCTGCACTAGTAGCCTATCCTAGGTTTCATATATCTGATTTTGTACCATGAGCAGTTTGTTTCTATGAGCTAAGTTTTGCTTCTGCCGAGGGGAGGTGACATCAACTTGTACTTTAGTATAAGTTTACATGGTGCCTTCCTTCCTGACTGGCAGCTCCCCAGCATTTACTAGAGCACAGGGAGACAAGACAAATGGAACCCACTGAACATGGGCTCAGTCTACACTCACTACCCAGCTAGAAATTTTTTCTGCACCCTCTTCTTCCTCTAAACAGTTATGAGGCTAAATGTGATTGATTGCAAAACCCCCAAAAGTCTTGTTTGAAAGAAAGTCTTGTGATTTTTCTGGAAGATATCTTTAACTCCTTCATGCCCCTCAGCAAATACTTATATATCACCCCTTATCTTGTGTGCACTGGTTCAGTATGGAGAGGGTAAGCATGTGTGGTGGTTTGAAAGAAAATGGTCCCCAAAGGGAGTGGCACTATTAGGAAGTATGGCCTTGTTGAAGTAGGTGCGGCCTTGTTGGAAGAAGTGTGTCATTGTGGGGGTGGGCTTTGAGATCTCCTCTGTTCAAGCTACATCCACGGACACAGTTCACTTCCTGTTGCCTGTGGATCAAGATGTATGTAGCACCTTCTCCAGCATTATGTCTGCCTGTATGCCTCCATGTCCCACCATGATGGTAATGGACTGAACTTCTGGAACTGTAAGCCACTCCAATGAAATGTTTTGTTTTATAAGAGTTGCCACGGTCATGGTGTCTCTTTACAGCAATAGAAACCCTAACTAAGACAGCATGGAAAGAAGTGGGCATTAGGCTTATAGTGCATATTAAGAGGAGTAGGTATTCCTACAAATGGGGGGGGACACCCACTAGTACAAGGTGGCATGAAATTGATTTCAAATAAAGGAAAGAGCCAGTGTGGTACAGGAACCTAGAGGTTTGGAGCTGAGAAAGCCTTCGGAAGCCTCCCAGGTGCTTAGCTGGGGAGAATGGGATACAGAACAAATCAGGTTTGATGAGCTTCGTAAGATGGACTGAGTAAGAACCAAACTCAACTTTTCTAAATCCCATAGGCCTATTGTTTTTGGGGAGTTCATCTATCTTCCATTCATTTGACCCATCTCATAATCTCTGTGCTAGGATCCTAAGATTTCCAGAGAAGCAATGTGGCCTAGTGCACGGCTTTTAAAACTTTATCCATTTACAACCCCCTTTCACCAAGGAAAATTTTCTCCAACCTAGGTGTACAGGCATATAAGATATGTTAAACATTTGCTAATACTAAATCATGAATAAATTTAGTCTGAAACAATTATTAGATCTACTTTATTAAAGGTGAGAGCAAATTTGCATATTAATGAGATGAACGTACTTGTTTATATTTATTTAAAGAATTAAATCTGGACTGAAGGTTTGATGCTGCAAAACGTAGATCATTTTCAATGATCTTCAGAGTTGAACAATATTTTAATTTTATAATCATCAGAGCTGAGAATGCTGCTATATATAGCCATATAGTATGAAATAGCAGACTTATGTTTAGGACTGTTTAAGAAGTTGTTGGACATTCTGTACTAATCCCAAGCTAAAATACACTAACCTTTTTTTTTTAATGAAACAACTCAGTGAACAAGTTTTAAAATCAAACACTCTAACAATCTAATCCCAAGATATACTAATTTAATGCTTAACACAATGAAGGATTATGAGAAAAATATTATTGAGTATTTGTTTTCCATAAAATTATACCATTATGTTTCTGTAATACCATAACTCCTGGTATGTAAAATAAAGACACTGCAGTTCACATCAGTCAATAGTCTCAAATCTGAGCTGAGAAGCATCATTGACACTGTATACAGTGTTAGTGTATGCAATGTAAAGGGTGCATATTGTGTGTTCAGAACAAAGGCTGCAATAAGGTTGTGTGATAGATATATCATGAATGAGCACTGCCAGAAACACATGAGATTCACTTCACAATGAGTTTGAATCAATTTTAGATTGTTGTGCATTCAGACACCTTTTAACGCTGCTCTTCCAGAGGTCCTGAGTTCAACTACATGGTGGCTCATAATACATGTTCTTAACGAGCCTTTTTTGCTAACTTTTTGCAATGGCCTGATTCAGTTGTGTGATCAGAGTCTAGTAATTAAAAAGGATTAGGAGCTTGAATTCCAACTCTGATAGTTAATGTGATCTTAAAAGATTGACTTAATAATCCTGTTTCTCACTGGCAAACAGGATGATGATGATGATGATGATGATGATGATGATGATGATGATGATAGTAATAAACAATAATAATATTGTCTAGCTTATAGAGTTCCCTGGAGGATTACATAGAGTAAGTCAAATTAAGATGTTAAGCTCAGTGCTGGTTGCATATTACTCATTCATTAATCCTTACTTCTTGGGGGTATTGTAAATGCTGATGGGAAAGCGGATTTAGGCCTTTTACTTAAGGAACTGTTAATCTGTCAGTTCCAGAGTTTTACTCCATATTCTACTCTGAAAAAATTCCAGTACTTTGTGAGTTGTCACTTAGCTTATTTTCATGGCTCTTTTCCTAAATGAGTCAGTATTAAAAGCTATGGATTTCCTTCAAACCCAGCTTTGGCCCTATCTCATAATGCTTGGGGATGACTGTTTTCATTGTCCATGTTCATCAAGGTGCTGATTTGTCTCCTTCTCTAGTTGATCAGTTTCCTTTCCATCTTCTTCACCATGCCTATAATGCAAGCAAGGAGGCCTTCATCAGAGGCTTATCAGATAAGCTACCTTATCTTGGACATTCAGCCTCTGCTTTATAAAATTCGTTGCCTCAAGCATTTTCTCCTAACAATGGAGGACAAAACTAATAGAAGACATTGGATTATTAAAGGCGTGGACTGGAATAATAAGATCATTTTCCTAATTTAGAAAGGATAAGCCCGCCAGACTCTTCAGGATGGCTGCAGAGCTGCAAAAAGAATTGATGCAGGGAGACTAATGAGAAAAATCTTCATGTTATTGTAAGACAGTGATTCTCAAACCGGGGAGCATCCATCAGAATCCCCTGGAGGGCCTGTTAAGGCAGAGCTTGTTGGGCAGCGTCCCAGAGCTTATGATTTAGTACCCTTGTAGTTGGGATCTAAGGCTTTGCACTTTTCCTGAGTTCTCAGAAGATGCTGCTGCTGCCAGTCTAGGGGCCACACTTTGAGAACCTCTTATTTGGGACAGTGATGGCACAACAGGCAGTCCTAGTGGGGACTGGCTTAGAGAGGAAAGAAGGAAGGAGGGAGAGACCATGGGGCTTAGGAATGGAACATAGGGCAAGATTTGGCTGAGAAATCAAAGACAACTACAAAGATGCCAAGTTTTGGTGACTTAGCGCCTATGAGACTCATAGTTGCAAGCTCACAAAAACCTATCAGTAGAATCAGTCACATAGCATGTACTAGGAAAATAAATGAGGTTTCTAGTTTTTGTTTGTACTATGGCACTCAAGGCTAAAGTCTTCTTGTCTTGTCTGTGGAACGAAAGCCTCTTGGGAGAAAGCATGGGTCTGGGTTTGGTCTCTTTTCTAGAATGCAACATTTGAGTAAAGGAAGGAAATGAAGGTATAGTGGGAGGTGGAAAAGACTTTACATATTCTAGACATGAAGAACATGCCTTTGCACTATTAAGTATTGACTATGTATGGGTAACTAAGAACAAAAGACAAAGCAAAGGCATAAAACAGCAGGGACCACCCAGGGCAGCTCTGGGAGCAGGTCCTGAGACAACTGGTAACAGTTTCTAAGACAGGACTTCTCAATTCCAGACTGTTGAACCTTTTCTTTGGACTCTGATGCCCTGATGTGCTGGCTGGTTCCAGCCTATTGGGAATTCTCTTACCTGCTTCTCTCCACTGGGCTTCCTGTAGCTAAGCAGAAGCTCCACAGCGCCCACCACTTCCTTGCGGATGGCATAGAGTAGTGCATCGCCCACATACACACTGTGATTCAGCAGTAGCTCCATGATCTCCAAGTTCTCATTCTCAATGGCAATGAGCAGGGCACTCCTGCCCAAAGGATCCATGCAGTTGATGTTGACATTGTAGTAGATCTCGGCCTCTTGTAGTGCCTGCTTCACAGTGGCATAGTCCCCCTTCTCCACAGCATTAAGGAAGGCCTTCTCTTCAGCAGAGAGCTCAGTCTCAGCCCTCACAATTTGGAGGGGGATTCGGTCTCTGTACGGTGAGTAATTGACCTTCTTGTAGTACAGCTGGGCCATGGTTCATAGCATTTGAGAAAGCTAAGTGTGGAGAGAGAGAAAGAGGAAGATGAAAGATAGTTTTAGTTACCTGAAGGTTTCAAAGGGCCACTTATTAATCCCTTTAATGGGATTTCAAGATCCCAAAGTGTTTAAATGATATCAATGTTTCCTTGTTGCCGAGAAGCAGAGCAGCAAAAAAAAAAAAAAAAAAAAAAAAAAAAAAAATCAAAAAACAAAAAACAGGTTTTGTCAGAAAGACTTGGGCTCGAACAGTTATTTAACACTTACCAGCTCTGTGATATTGGATAAGTTACTCAAATCTTCTACCACATTTATTCCTAAGGTTATCTGTATTAATATTATTAGAAGTTGTCATCTAGTGCTTACCAAGTCTCATGCTAGAGAATAATTCCTACCTTGAAAAGCTACTCTGATAGTTAAAGTAGTTATATATTATCAAATCTCCTAAGACATAGTACAACTTGCATTGTCCTTTCCCTCCGTTCCACCTCTGAGAACATCCACGGTACTTCTTCTGCTCAGTGGTGCTAAGCTGCTGTTCACTTAGGGCCAGTTTCTTTTGATCTCTGGACACTGTAGGTCCTTTTTGTAATCTAATTTTCAAGATTACATTTGCCACTATTCCAGATGCACATTTCAGACTGAAATACTGTTTTAGGAGCTGGGAATACAGTTCAGTTAGTAGAATGCTTGTCTATCATCCACAAAATCCTATGTTCGATCCTTAGCTCCACATGAGCTGGATGTGGGCATATCTGCGATCCCAAAACTCAAAGGGTAGAAGAAGGTGAATTAGAAGTTCAGGGCCATCCTTGGCCACATAGTGGGTTCAAGGCTGTCCTAGGATACATGATACCATATATTTAAAAAAAGGCAAAAAGAAATATATATATTGTTTAGTGTTAAGTGCAGCCTGCTCCTTGATGATGGTCATTGTAGAAGTATTGACTTCAACAGGCCGAAGCCATCTGCAAAAGAGTAAGCACGGACTCACTCTAAAGCCACCCCAATCTCTTTCTGCCCCCTCTCCAAACTCTGAAGCTAACAGACTGGAGAATCAATTTGATTTAATTCCGAGAAATGAATGGTCTGTTTTGTTTGTGCCCAATCTAAGGTCAGGTCACACTTAATAGAACTGATTGTAAAGTGAAAACTAAATAGGTTTTCACTGAGCTCCTGCAATGTGTTTAAATTTTCTCTGGAAGACCAAGAAAATAAAGGCACCTTTGCCTGTAACCGTAGGGAATGAATCACAGGGTAGAGCTCTTGCTTTGCAATTTACAGATCAAATTCACTCCCATCCCTCATTGACTACTTGTACTGTCGCTGTGAGGTGAGAATGATGATCCTGGTCGGGGGAGAAAATGAGATTAGATCTATTAGCTGATTGGCTGTTCTCCCCGCAAGGTCTCCAAGCCCCTCTGGAGTTAAGATGGCCTTATTTTAGTACTTTTCATTAAGGGACCATTTCAGTAGAGGAAGGAAGTGGAAGTGTGATAAAGAGCCCCTTGTCTCATCTCCTGGATCACACAAGAAGGCATGGAACTTCCACAAACATTTACCTCACTCTTTCAGGTAATTACATCTCTGCTTTGGCAGGGTGAGAAGCATATATTATATCAAGTAGCATTTGCAATTCATATCCTTGTGATCTTCTGGGAAGTTAGCATTTGAAGATGACTGTTGGCTGCCTTTTGCCCTGAACAGGCCCAAATGATGAATTCTTTTTTTGTCTAGCTCTCAGAAGAGCAGGTGCTGTTTGACTCCCTAGAGAAACTTTGCTGGGTCTTTCACGACTGTGCTGATTGGTTTTTGTCAACTAGATACAGATTCCAGTCACCTGGAGCGGGGAGCGAGCCTTAATTGAGGACTGGCCTCTATCACTTTGGCTTGATTGCTGGTTAATGTAAGAAGGCATGGCTCACTGTGGGTGATGCCATCTCTAGGCAGTTGAGCCCAGACTGCATAAGAAAAGTAGCTGCAGCCAGGCGGTGGTGGTGCACACCTTTAATTCCAGCACTCAGGAGGCAGAGGCAGGCAGATCTCTGTGAGTTCCAGGCCAGCCTGGTCTATAGAGTGAGTTCCAAGACAGCCGGGGCTACATAGAGAAACCCTGTCTAGAAAAAAAAAAGAAAAGAAAAGAAAGAAAAAGAGAGGAAGAAAGAAAGGAAGGAAGGAAGGAAGGAAGAAAGAAAGAAAGAAAGGAAGAAAGAAAGAAAGAAAGAGAAAAGTAGCTGAGCAAATCGTGGGGAGCAAGCCAGTAATCAGCTTCTTCTATGGTTCCTGCTTCTGCATCTGCTTGAGTTCCTGCCCTAACTGATGGACAGTGATCAGGAAGTGTAAGACAAATAAATCATTTCTTCTCCAAGTTCTTTTTAATCATGGTGTTTATCACAGCAGCAGAAAGAAAACGAACAACTACTTTCAAAGAATTTGCGGAGTCTGAAGGAAATTGGCACTTAGAGGAAGAAGCACTTGTCTCTATGTTGTCAACAGAAAGTGGGGGCAGAGAAGAGTGAGAGCCCCTGAAGAGAGACTCAAGAGCTCTCAGGCTTCTGTTACAGCGACTTACTTGACTGAAACACACAGCACTTCTAATGTGCCCAGGATTCTGATAATCACTGTATGTGTGGGGGATGATGGTACCTGCACGGCTGCCCCATGTTCGACTTCCTAATCAGCCTGTCTCCATTCTTTCCCCCTCCACTTCTAGTCTGCCACTAATTCATTCTATGAAGCACAAATCTCATTCCATTTTGCTTATCTTTCACGATTTCTTGATGGAGCGTGTGTGTGTGTGTGTGTGTGTGTGTGTGTGTGTGTGTGTGTGTGTACGTGTGCATACGGAGGCCCAAGATTAATATCAGATGTGTCACTCTGTGGCTGTGCACCTTATCTTTTGAGACAGGATATCTCACTGAACTTTGAATTCACTAATTTGACAAGACCTTTCCCATCAGCAAATTCCAGGGATCCTTTTGTCTTTGACTCCGGAGTGCTGGGATTATACACGTGAACTCTCATGCTCAGCTTTTTTAAAGTGGGTGCCTGGGGATCTCAACTCAGGTTCCCACGCTTGTATGGCAAGCACTTTACTTCCTGAGCCATCTCCCCAGCCCCTCCTGCTATTCTCGTAATGGAATCAACACTCTTTATAAGGCCTGCAGAGTCTTGGCTTTTGTTTACTTTTCCGACCGCTTCTTAAACTACTCATCCTAGCCACCAATGTTTAACCTCATGATGTTTCTTTTGATTCTTCTATGATGCCAAGATTTTTCCAATCTCGAGACCTTTGATCCCAAATTCAACCTTTTTTTAACCATCTATTTCTATCTTTTAGTTCCTGCAAAATATCCCCCAGAGCTGCCCTTTAATCCTCTCTAAATTAGTCCCTTTACAGTCTTCTCTCTATGGACCTGTCTTCTTCCTCTGTAATTCTTACCAAAATTTCTACTCATTTGTCTTATCAGTTAATTGTTCCTTCCAAATAGCCGTAAAGCTCAAGAGCAAGAGTAGTACCAGGTCCTGTTTTTCTGGTGCCCACTCCCTATCCCTTGACTGGCACAACCTGGCCATTAGATCGATACTTGAGTAAATGAGCCAACCTTATATGTTGTTTCCTTATCTCTTTCCATTCCATCTCGAGTTCTAGCCATGTTGAATCGTGTTCTGAACTTGTCCTTTTCTGATGAGTTCTTCGCACTGGGCATCACCACATTCTCTCCACTTAGCCAACTTCTCCTCATGTTTCAATACCTCCTCAATCATTAGTTCTGTTCTCTGCAAAACTTTTGCCCAGTGCTTGTAGGAATTCAGCCAGTTTTCCCATTCTACTGGTACGTCGATCACATTTCTTCAGTGATGCTGACTGCATATTTGTCTTCCTACGACTAGGGTAGCAGAGCTTAGATATCTATATCCCCAACACTCACACAGGTCTAGAATATGGCAGGTAGTGGTTATAGGCATTTAAGGAACAAAACCAATTGGCTGTTAGCAGAGTTAAGAACTAAGTAGGTGGCACTAATTTAATGCTTTGTGATCTCAGCAAGGATTGGAGGCCTCAGAAAAGGTTTCATGGAGCAACTCTCGTGCTAATCTTCAGAGGATAAATTAAATATACAAATGTGAAGGCCATTCTGCTCAGAGAGGGAAGACTATAAGTGATGAGACTGATGAAGGCTTGGCTGAAAGATTGTTGGGGAGAGCAGGGAGGGCTATTTTTCAAGCCACAGCAAGATACATGAATTAGAGGTGTAGTTCATAACCTCAGTTTTCCCAACTGAGTAATGACATTAAACATTTTCCACTTGCCCCTTAAGAGGCCACAATAGAAGGAAAGGCTGGGTAAGCATTTTAGGGAGCTCTGTGACCATCTCGCCAAGGTACCACTGTGGAGGAAACAGAAGATACATGTATCCTAGGCAAAAATGAAAATGAAGGAAAAAAAAACTGCATTCAGTTCCCTATTATGTGCCAGGCATTATACCGGAAGCTGGGGCAATAAAGATATAAAAATAATTATTATAGTTTTGAATAGTTAATGTTTCCTGGGCACTGTGCCAGGTGCTGGGGCTGCACCATCACTACACGATAGTGCTTCTAATAGTAATGAATGCAGCAAGCAGTGTCATTCATTACATTCTTACTATGTGCCAGATGCTAGGTACGTGGGTTAAAAATCATAAAGGAAGATGACACTAAACTCATGATAATTTGAGGCTTGAAGCAAGCATAATTGGATGATACATAGTCAAACTATAGTCTAGCTTTACATTTTGTCTCTTCCATTTGAACTAATCTGCTGTGTTTTATTTGCAGTGAGCTGCGTTAGGAGAGTCCTCATAGAAGCTTTATGTTGAAAAACTTGCCTCCAGAGTTTTTCTTGAGATTATGATATCACAGAATGATTCTTTTGCATTAAGCCGAAGGGACAGGCCCCCATGGTTATCAGCTAAGCATGACATATCAAATTGCAGTATGACCAAGCACCTCCCCTTGTATTAAGGCTGGGGAAG